CTCTAAGGACAAGGTTCCTCACTCTGAAAACATGGTTCCTCACTCTGAGAACAAGGTTCCCCAGTCTGAGAACAGGTGTTCCTCAATCTGCGGACAAGGTTCCTCACACTGAAGACAAGTTTCCTCTCTCTGAGAACAAGGTTCCTCACTCTGAGGACAAGGTTCCTCACTCTGAGGGCCAGGTTCCTCACACTGCGGACAAGTTTCCTCACCCTGAGGACAAGGATCTTCACTCTGAGGTCAATGTCCTCACTCTGAGGACAAGGTCCTCACTCTGAGGACAAGGTTCCGCTCTCTGAAGGCAGGTTCCTCAGACTGAGGACAAGGTTCCTCGCTCTGAGGACAACGTTCCCCACTCTGAGGACAATGTTTCTCACTCTGAGGACAAGGTTCCTCACTCTGCAGTCAAGTTCCTCACTCTGAGGACAAAGTTCCTCACTCTGAGGACAAGGTTCTTCACATTGAGGACAACGTTCCGAACTCTGAGAAGAAGGTTCATGATTCTGAGGACAAGGTTCCTCACTCTGAGGACAAGGTTTCTCACTCTGAGGAAAAGGTTCCTCACACTGAGGACAAGGCTCCTCACTCTGAGGACAAGGTTCCTCACTCTGAGGACAAGGTTCTTCACTCTGAGGACAAGGCTCCTCACTCTGAGGACAAGATTCCTCGCTCTGAGGAGAAGCTTCATCACTCTGAGGACAAGGTTCCTCTCTCTGAGAACAAGGTTCTTCACACTGAGGACAAGGTTCCTCTCTCTGAGGACAAGGTTCCGCACTCTGAAGGCAAGTTCTTCACACTGAGGACAAGTTTCCTCTTTCTGAGAACAGGTTTCCTCACTCTGAGGGCAAGGTTCCTCACTCAGGGGACAAGGTTCGTCGCTCTGAGGAAAACGTTCCTCACACTGAGGAGAAGGCTCCTCACTCTGAGGACAAGGTTCCTCGCTCTGAGGAGAAGGTTTATCACTCTGAGGACAAGTTTCCTCACTCTGAGGGCAAGGTGCTTCACACTGAGGACAAGGTTCCTCACACTGAGAAGAAGGTTCCTCATTATCAGGACAAGGTTCCTCACTCTGAGGACAAGGTTCCTCACGCTGAGGACAAGGTTCTTCACTTTGAGGACAAGGTTCCTCACTCTGAGAACAAGGTTCCTCACACTGAGGACAAGGTCCCTCACACTAAGGACAAGGTTCATCACTCTGAAAACAAGGTTCCTCACTCTTAGAACAAGGTTCCTCACTCTGAGAACAAGGGTTCTTCACACTGAGGACAAGGTTCCGCACTCTGAGAAGAAGGTTCATCACTCTAAGGACAAGGTTCCTCACTTTGAGAACAAGGTTCCTCACTCTGTGGACAAGGTTCCGCACTCTGAGGGCAAGGTTCCTCACACTGAAGCCAAGCTTCCCCACTCTGAGGACAAGGATCTTCACTCTGAGGACAAGGTCCTCACTCTGAGGACAAGGTCCTCACTCTGAGGCAAGTTTCCGCCCCTTGAAGGCAGGTTCCTCAGACTGAGGACAAGGTTCATCGCTCTGAGGACAAGGTTCCTCACTCTGAGGACAAGGTTCCTCACACTAAAGACAAGGATCCTCACTCTGCGAACAAGGTTCCTCACTCTTAGGACAAGGTTCTCACTCTGAGGACAAGGTTCTTCACTCTGAGGACAAGGTTCTTCACTCTGAGGACAAGGTTCCTCACTCTGAGGAAAAGGTTCCTCACACTGAGGACAAGGCTCCTCACTCTGAGGACAAGGTTCCTCACTCTGAGGACAAGGTTCTTCACTCTGAGGACAAGGTTCCTCTCTCTGAGGAAATCATTCCTCACAATGAGCACAAGGTTCCCCACTCTGAGGACGAGGTTCCTCACACTGAGGACAAGGTCCCTCTCCTTGAGAACAAGGTTCCTCACTCTGAGGACAATGTTCCTCACTCTGAGGACAAGGTTCTTCACACTGAGGACAAGGTTCCTCATTTTGAGAACAAGGTTCCTCACTCTGAGGAGAAGGTTCCTCACTCTGAGGCAAGGTTCCGCACTCTGAGGAGAAGGTTCATGACTCTGAGGACAAGGATCCTCACTCTGAGGACAAGGTTCTTCACACTGAGGACAAGGTTCCACACTCTGAGAAGAAGGTTCATGACTCTGAGGAGAAGGTTCCTCACTCTGAGGACAAGGTTCCTCACTCTGAGGAAAAGGGTCCTCACACTGAGGACAAGGCTCCTCACTCCTAGGACAAGGTTCTTCACTGTGAGGACAAGATTCCTCTCTCTGAGAAAAACGTTCCTCACACTGAAGACAAGGCTCCTCACTCTGAGGACAAGGCTCCTCACTCTGAGGACAAGGTTCCTCACTCTGAGGACAAGTTTCCTAACTCTGAGGACAAGTTTCCTCACTCTGAAAGCAGGATCGTCACTCTGAGGACAAGGATCATCAGTCTGAGGACAAGGTTCCTCACTCTGAGCACAAGGTGCTTCACAGTGAGGACAAGGTTCCTCACACTGAAAACAAGGTTCCTCATTATGAGGACAAGGTTCCTCACTCTGTGGACAAGGTTCCTCACTCTGAGGACAAGGTTCTTCACACTGATTACAAGGGTCCGCCTCTTAGAACAAGGTTCCTCACTCTGAGGACAAGGTTCCTCACTCTGATGTCAGGTTCCTCACTCTGAGGAGAAGGTTTCTCACTCTGAGGACAAGGTTCCTCACTCTGAAGTCAGGTTCCCCACTCTGACGACAAAGTTCCTCACCCTGAGGACAAGGTTCTTCACACTGAGGACAAGGTTCCGCACTCTGAGAAGAAGGCTCATGACTCTGAGGACAAGGCTCCTCACTCTGAGGACAAGAATCCTCCCTCTCAGGACAAGGTTCCTCACTCTGAGGACAACGTTCCTTACTCTGAGGAAAAGGTTCCTCACACTGAGGACAAGGCTCCTCACCCTGAGGACAAGGTTCCTCACCCTGAGGACAAGGTTCTTCAGTCTGAAGACCAGGTCCTCTCTGAGGACAAGGTTCCGGACTCTGAAGGCAGGTTCCTAACACTGAGGACAAGTTTCCTCGTTCTGAAGACAGGTTTCCTCACTCTGAGGACAAGGTTCCTCACACTGAGGACAAGGTTCCTCATTCTGGGGACAAGGTTGCTCACTCTGAGGACAAGGTTCCTCACTCTGATGAAAAAGTTCCTCACACTGAGGACAAGGCTCCTCACTCCGAGGACAAGGTTCCTCACTCTGAGGAGAAGGTTCATCACTCTGGGGACAAGGTTCCTCACTCTGAGGACAAGGTGCGCCACACTGAGGACAAGGTTCGTCACACTGAGAACAAGGTTCCTCATTATGAGGACAAGGTTCCTCACTCTGAGGACAAGGTTCCTCACGCTGAGGACAAGGTTCCTCACTCTTAGGACAAGGTTCTTCACGCTGAGGACGTCGACAATATTCCTCACACTGAGGACAGGATTCCTCACTCTGAGAACAAGGTTCCTCACACTGAGGACAAGGTTCCTCACACTAAGGACAAGGTTCCTCACTCTGAAAACAAGGTTCCTCACCCTGAGAACAAGGTTCCTCACTCTGAGAACAAGGGTTCCTCAATCTGAGGACAAGGTTCCTCACACTGAGGACATGGTTCCTCACACTGAGAACAAGGTTCCTCACTCAGAGAACAAGGTTCCCCACTCTGAGTACAAGGTTCCTCACACTGAGGACAAGTTTCCTCACTCTGAGGACAAGGATCTTCACTCTGAGGACAAGTTTCCGCCCTCTGAAGGCAGGTTCCTCAGATTGAGGACAAGGTTCCTCGCTCTGAGGACAAGGTTCCTCACTCTGAGGACAAGGTTCCTCACACTAAAGACAAGGTTCCTCGCACTGCGAACAAGGTTTCTCACTCTGAGGACAAGGTTCCTCACTCTCAAGTCAGGTTCCTCACTCTGAGGAAAAGGTTCCTCACACTGAGGACAAGGTTCCTCACTCTGGGGACAAGGTTGCTCACTCTGAGCACAATGTTCCTCACTCTGATGAAAACGTTCCTCACACAGAGGACAAGGCTCCTCACTCTGAGGAGAAGGTTCCGCACTCTGAGAAGAAGGCTCATGACTCTGAGGACAAGGTTCCTCACTCTGAGAACAAAGTTCCTCACTCTGAGGACAAGGTTCCTCACGCTGAGGACAAGGTTCCTCACGCTGAGGACAAGGTTCCTCACTCTGAGGACAAGGTTCTTCACACTGAGGACAGGGTTCCTCACTCTGAGAACAAGGTTCCTCGCACTGAGGACAAGGTTTCTCACACTAAGGACAAGGTTCCTCACTCTGAAAACAAGGCTCCTCACTCTGAGAACAAGGTTCGTCACTGTGAGAACAAGAGTTCCTCAATCTTAGGACAAGGTTCCTCACACTGAGGACATGTTTCGTCACACTGACAACAAGGTTCCTCACTCTGAGAACAAGGTTCGTCACTCTAAGCCAAGGTTCCCCACTCTGAGGGCAAGGTTCCTCACACTGAGGACAAGTTTCCTCACTCTGAGGACAAGGATCTTTACTCTGAGGACAAGGTCCTCACTCTGGGGACAAGGTCCTCTCTCTGACGACAAGTTTTCGCTCTCTGAAGGCAGGTTCCTCAGACTGAGGACAAGGTTCCTCGCCCTGAGGACAAGGTTCCTCACACTAAAGACAAGGTTCCTCACCCTCCGAACAAGGTTCCTCACTCTGAGGACAAGGTTTCTCACTCTGAGGACAAGGTTCCTCACTCTGAAGTCAGGTTCCTCTCTCTGAGGACAAGGTTCCTCACTCTGAAGACAAGGTCCTTCACACTGAGGACAAGGTTCCGAACTCTGAGAAGAAGGTTCATGACTCTGAGGACAAGGTTCCTCACTCTGAGGACAAGGTTCCTCACTCTGAGGAAAAGGTTCCTCACACTGAGGACAAGGCTCCTCACTCTGAGGACAAGCTTCCTCAGTCTGAGGACAATGTTCTTCACTCTGAGGACAAGGTTCCTCTCTCTGAGGAAAACGTTCCTCACACTGAGGACAAGGCTCCTCACTCTGAGGACAAGGCTCCTCACTCTGAGGACAAGGTTCCTCACTCTGAGGAGAAGGCTCCTGACTCTGAGCACAAGTTTGCTCACTCTGAAAGCAGGATCGTCACTCTGAGGACAAGAACCATCTGTCTGAGGACAAGGTTTCTCATTCTGAGGACAAGGTGCTTCACACTGAGGACAAGGTTCCTCACACTGAAACAAGGTTCCTCATTACGAGGACAAGGTTCTTCACTCCGAGGAAAACGTTCCTCACACTGAGGACAAGGCTCCTCACTCTGAGGACAAGGCTCCTCACTCTGAGGAGCAGGCTCCTCAATCTGAGGACAAGTTTGCTCACTCTGAAAGCAGGATCGTCACTCTGAGGACAAGAACCATCACTCTGAGGACAAGGTTCCTCACTCTGAGGACAAGGTGCTTCACACTGGGGACAAGGTTCCTCACACTGAAAACAAGGTTCCTCATTATGAGGACAAGGTTCTTCACTCTGAGGACAAGGTTCCTCACACTGAGGACAGGGTTCCTCACCCTGAGGACAAGGTTCCTCACTCGGTGGACAAGGTTCCTCACTCTGAGGACAACGTTCTTCACACTGAGGACAAGGGTCCGCACTCTGACAACAAGGTTCCTCACTTTGAGGACAAGGGTTCTCACTCTGGTGTCAGGTTCCTCACTCTGAGGACAAGGTTTCTCATTCTGAGGACAAGGTGCTTCACACTGAGGACAAGGTTCCTCACACTGAAACAAGGTTCCTCATTACGAGGACAAGGTTCTTCACTCCGAGGAAAACGTTCCTCACACTGAGGACAAGGCTCCTCACTCTGAGGACAAGGCTCCTCACTCTGAGGACAAGGTTCCTCACTCTGAGGAGCAGGCTCCTCAATCTGAGGACAAGTTTGCTCACTCTGAAAGCAGGATCGTCACTCTGAGGACAAGAACCATCACTCTGAGGACAAGGTTCCTCACTCTGAGGACAAGGTGCTTCACACTGGGGACAAGGTTCCTCACACTGAAAACAAGGTTCCTCATTATGAGGACAAGGTTCTTCACTCTGAGGACAAGGTTCCTCACACTGAGGACAGGGTTCCTCACCCTGAGGACAAGGTTCCTCACTCTGTGGACAAGGTTCCTCACTCTGAGGACAACGTTCTTCACACTGAGGACAAGGGTCCGCACTCTGACAACAAGGTTCCTCACTTTGAGGACAAGGTTTCTCACTCTGGCGTCAGGTTCCTCACTCTGAGGACAAGGTTCCTCAGTCTGAGGACAAGGTTCCTCACCCTGAGGACAAGGTTTCTGACTCTGAGGACAAGATTCCTCACTCTGAAGGCGGGTTCCTCACTCTGAGGACAAAGTTCCTCACGCTGAGGACAAGGTTATTCACACTGAGGACAAGGTTCCGCGCTCTGAGAAGAAGGCTCATGACTCTGAGGACAAGGTTCCTCACTCTGAGAACAAGGTTCCTCACTCTGAGGACAAGGTCCTCACTCTGAGGACAAGGTTCCACACTTTGAGGACAAGGGTCCTCACTCTGAAGACAAGGATCATCCCTCTGATGACAAGGTTCTTCACTCTGAGGACATGGTGCTTCACACTGAGGACAAGGTTCCTCACACTGAAAAGATGGTTCGTCATTATGAGGACAGGGATCTTCTCTCTGACGACACGGTTCCTCACGCTGAGGACAAGGTTCTTCACTCTGAGGACAAGGTTCCTCACTCTGAGGACAAGTTTCCGCACTCTGAGAAGAAGGTTCATGATCCTGAGGACAAAGTTCCTTACGCTGAGGACAAGGTTATTCACACTGAGGACAAGGTTCCGCACTCTGAGAAGAAGGCTAATGACTCTGAGGACAAGGTTCTTCATTCTGAGGACAAGGTTCCTCACTCTGAGGACAAGGATCATCCCTCTGATGACAAGGTTCCTCACTCTGAGGACAGGGTGCTTCACACTGAGGACAAGGTTCCTCACACTGAAAAGAAGGTTCCTCATTATGAGGACAAGGATCTTCACTCTGAGGGCAAGGTTCCTCACTCTGAATACAAGGTTCCTCACTCTGAAGGCAGGTTCCTCACTCTGAGGACAAAGTTCCTCACGCTGAGGACAAGGTTATTCACACTGAGGACAAGGTTCCGCACTCTGAGAAGAAGGTTCATGACTCTGAGGACAAGCTTCTTCACTCTGAGGACAAGGTTCCTCACTCTGAGGACAAGGATCATCCCTCTGATGACAAGGTTCCTCACTCTGAGGACTGGGTGCTTCACACTGAGGACAAGGTTCCTCACCCTGAAAAGAAGGTTCCTCATTATGATGACAAGGATCTTCACTCTGAGGACAAGTTTCCTCACGCTGAGGACAAGTTTCCTCACGCTGAGGACAAGGTTCTTCACTCTGAGGAGAAGGTTTCTCAATCTGAGGACAAGGTTCCGCACCCTGAGAAGAAGGTTCATGATTCTGAGGACAAGGTTCCTCACTCTGAACACAAGGTTCCTCTCTCTGAGGACAAGGCTCCTCACTCTGAGGACAAGGATCATCCCACTGATGACAAGGTTCCTCACTCTGAGGACAAGGTGCTTCCCACTGAGGACAAGGATCCTCACTCTGAGGACAAAGTTCCTCACTCTCAGGACAAGATTCCTCACTCTGAGGACAAGGTTTCTCACTCTGAGGAAAAGGTTCCTCACTGTGAAGACAAGGTTCCTCACCCCGAGGACAAGGTTCCGCACTCTGAGAAGAAGGTTCATGGTTCTGAGGACAAGGTTCCTCACTCTGAGGACAAGGTTCCTCACTCTGAGGAAAAGGTTCCTCACTCTGAGGACAAGGTTCTTCACACTGAGGACTAGGTTCCTCACTCTGAAGACAAGGTTCCTCACACTGTCGACAAGGTTCCTCACTCTGAGGACTAGGTTTCTCTCTCTGAGGACAAGGTTCTTCACACTGAGGACTAGGTTCCTCACTCTGAAGACAAGGTTCCGCATACTGAGGACAAGGTTCCTCACTCTGAGGACAAGGTTCCTCACTCTGAAGGCACTTTCCTCACACGGAGAACAAGGTTCCTCAATCTGAGTATAAGAGTCCTCAGTCTGAGGACAAGCTTCCTCACACTGGGGACAAGGTTCGTCTCTCTGAGGACAAGGTTCCTCATTCTGAGGACACGGTTGTTCACACTGAGGACAAGGTTCCTCACTCCGAGAACAAGGTTCCTCACTCTGAGGACAAGGTTACTCACTCTGAGGACAAGGTTCCTCACTCTGAGAACAAGGTTCCTCACTCTGAGGACAAGGTTCCTCACTCTGAGGACAAGGTTCCTCACCCTGAGGACAAGGTACCTCAATCTGAGGACGAGGTTCCTCACACTGAGGACAAGATTCCTCACTCTGAGGACAAGTTCCTCACCCTCAGGACAAGGTTCCTTACCCTGAAGGTTGTTCCTGCCACTGAGGACAAGGATCCTCACTCTGGTGACAACGTTCCTCGTTCTGAGGACAAGGTTCCTCACTCTGAGAACAAGGTTCCTCACTCTGAGAACAAGGTTCTTCACTCTGATGACAAGGTTCCTCACTCTGAGGACAAGTTTCCTCACTCTGAAGGCAGGTTCCTCACACTGAGGACAAGGTTCCTCAATCTGTGATAAGAGTCCTCACTCTGAGGACAAGCTTCCTCACACGGAGGACAAGGTTCGTCTCTCTGAGGACAAGGTTCCTCTCTCTGGCGAGAAGGTTCCTCACTCTGACGACAAGATTCCTCACTCTGAAAACAATGTGCCTAACTCTGAGGACAAGTTTCCTCACTCTTAAGGCCGATTCCTCACACTGAGGACAAGGTTCCTCAATCTGAGGACAAAGTTCTTCACACTGAGGACAAGGGTCGGCACTCTGACAACAAGGTTCCTCACTCTGAGGATAAGGTTCCTCGCTCTGAGGACAAGGTTCCTCACTCCGAAGTCAGGTTTCTCACTCAGAGGACAAGGTTCTTCACACTGAGGACAAGGTTCCGCCATGTGAGAAGAAAGTTCATGACTCTGAGGACAAGGTTCCTCACTCTGAGGACAAGGTTCCTCACTCTGAGGACAAGGTTCCTCACTCTGAGGACAAGCGTCCTCACTCTGAGGACAAGGTTCCTCACTCTGAGGACAAGGTTCCTCATTCTGAAGTCAGGTTCCTCTCCCAGAGGGCAAGGTTCCTCACTATGAGGACAAGGTTCTTCACACTGAGGACAAGGGTCGGCATTCTGACAACAAAGTTCCTCACTCTGAGGAAAACGTTCTTCACACTGAGGACAAGGCTCCTAACTATGAGGACAAGGCTCCTCACTCTGAGGACAAGGTTCCTCACTCTGAGGACAAGGTTGCTCAGTCTGAGGACAAGGTTGCTCAGTCTGAGGACAAGGGTCCTCACTCTGAGGACAAGGTTCCTCACTCTGAGGACAAGGTTCCTCACTCTGAGGACAAGGTTCCTCACTCTGAGGACAAGGTACCTCACTCTGAGGACGAGGTTCCTCACACTGAGGACAAGATTCCTCACACTGAAGACAAGGTTCCTCACTCTGAGGACAACGTTCCTCGCTCTGAGGACAAGGTTGCTCACTCTGAAGTCCGGTTCCTCACTCTGAGGACAAGGTTCCTCACTCTGAGAACAAGGTTCCTCACTCTGAGGACAAGGTCCTCACTCTGAGGACAAGGTTCCACACTTTGAGGACAAGGGTCCTCACTCTGAGGACAAGGTTCCTCACTCTGAGGACAAGGTTCCTCACTCCGAGGACAAGCTTCCTCACTTTGAAGACAGGTTCCTCACACTGAGGACAAGGTTCATCACTCTGAGGACAAGGTTCCTCACTCTGAACACAATTTTCCTAACTCTGAGAACAAGGGTCCCTCAGTCTGAGAACGAGGTTCCTCACACTGAGGACATGGTTCCTCACTCTGAGAACAAGGTTCCTCACTCTGAGGGGAAGGTTCGTCACACTGAGGACAAGTTTCCTCACCCTGAGGAGAAGGTTCCTCAATCTGAAGACAAGGTTCCGCACTCTGATGGCAGGTTCCTCAGACTGAGGACATCGTCCTCGCTCTTAAGACAAGGTTCCTCATTCTGAGGACAAGGTTCCTCACACTAAGGACAAGGTTCCTCACTCTGAAAACAAGGTTCCTCACTCTGAGGACAAGGTTCCTCACTCTGAGGACGAGGTTCCTCACACTGAGGACAAGATTCCTCACATGGAAGACAAGGTTCCTCACTCTGAGGACAACGTTCCTCGCTCTGAGGTCAAGGTTGCTCACTCTGAAGTCCGGTTCCTCACTCTGAGGACAAGGTTCCTCACTCTGAGAACAAGGTTCCTCACTCTGAGGACAAGGTCCTCACTCTGAGGACAAGGTTCCACACTTTGAGGACAAGGGTCCTCACTCTGAGGACAAGGTTCCTCACTCTGAGGACAAGGTTCCTCACTCTGAGGACAAGCTTCCTCACTTTGAAGACAGGTTCCTCACTCTGAGGACAAGGTTCATCACTCTGAGGACAATGTTTCTCACTCTGAACACAATTTTCCTAACTCTGAGAACAAGGGTCCCTCAGTCTGAGAACGAGGTTCCTCACACTGAGGACATGGTTCCTCACTCTGAGAAAAAGGTTCCTCACTCTGAGGGGAAGGTTCCTCACACTGAGGACAAGTTTCCTCACCCTGAGGAGAAGGTTCCTCAATCTGAAGACAAGGTTCCGCACTCTGATGGCAGGTTCCTCAGACTGAGGACATCGTCCTCGCTCTTAGGACAAGGTTCCTCACTCTGAGGACAAGGTTCCTCACACTAAGGACAAGGTTCCTCACTCTGAAAACAAGGTTCCTCACTCTGAGGACAAGGTTCCTCACTCTGAGGACAAGGTTAATCATTTTGAAGTCAGTTTCCTAACTTTGAGGACAAGGTTCCTCAATCTGAGGACAAGGTTCCTCACTCTGAGGAAAAGGTTCCTCACACTGAGGTCAAGGCTCCTCACTCTGAGGACAAGGTTCCTCACTTAGGGGGCAAGGTTCCTCACTCTGAGGACAAGGTTCCCCACTCTGAGGACAAGATTCCTCACTCTGAAAGCAGGTTCCTCACTCTGAAGGCAAGGTTCATCACTCTGAGGACAAGGTTCCTCACTCTGAGGACAAGGGGCTTCACACTGAAGACAAGGTTTCTCACACTGAAAACAAGGTTCCTGACTCTGAGGACAAGGTTTCTCACTCTGAGCACAAGATTCCTCACTCTGGGGACAAAGTTCCTCACCCTGAAGGCATGCTCCTCCCACTGAAGACAAGAATCCTCACTATGAGGACAAAGTTCCTCACTCTGAGGACAAGACTCCTCACTCTGAGGACAAGGTTCCTCACTCTGAGGAAAAGGTTCCTCACACTGAGGACAAGGCTTCTCACTCTGAGGACAAGGTTCCTCACTCAGGGGGCAAGGTTCCTCACTCTGAGGACAAGGATCCCCACTCTGAGGACAAGATTCCTCACTCTTAAAGCAGGTTCCTCAGTCTGAAGACAAGGTTCATCACTCTGAGGACAAGGTTCCTCACTCTGAGGACAAGGGGCTTCACACTGAAGACAAGGTTTCTCACACTGAGAACAAGGTTCCTGACTCTGAGGACAAGGTTTCTCACTCTGAGCACAAGATTCCTCACTCTGAGGACAAAGTTCCTTACCCTGAAGGCATGCTCCTCCCACTGAGGACAAGAATCCTCACTCTGAGGACAAAGTTCCTCACTCTGAGGACAAGATTCCTCACTGTGAGGACAAGGTTTCTCACTCTGAGGACAAGGTTCCTCACTCTGAGGACAATGTTCTTCACTCTGGAGACAAGGTTCCTCACTCTGAGGACAAGGTTCCTCAATCTGAAGGCAGGTTGCTCACACTGAGGACAAGGTTCCTCACTCTGAGGACAACGTTCCCCACTCTGAGGACAAGGTTCTTCACACTGAGGACTAGGTTCCTCACTCTGAAGACAAGGTTCCTCACGCTGAGGACAAGGTTCCTCACTCTGAGGACTAGGTTTCTCACTCTGAGGACAAGGTTCTTCACACTGAGGACTAGGTTCCTCACTCTGAAGACAAGGTTCCGCAAACTGAGGACAAGGTTCCTCACTCTGAGGAAAAGGTTCCTCACTCTGAAGGCACGTTCCTCACACTGAGAACAAGGTTCCTCAATCTGAGTATAAGAGTCCTCAGTCTGAGGACAAGCTTCCTCACACTGAGGACATGGTTCGTGTCTCTGAGGACAAGGTTCCTCACTCTGAGGACACGGTTCTTCAGGCTGCGGACAAGGTTCCGCACTCTTACAACAAGGTTCCTCACTCTGAGGACAAGGTTCCTCATTCTGAGGAGAAGGTTCCTCACTCTGAGGAAAACGTTCATCACAATGAGGACAAGGCTCCTCACTCTGAGGACAAGGCTCCTCACTCTGAGGACAAGGTTCCTCACTCTGAGGACAAGGTTCTTCACACTGAGGACAAGGTTGAGCACTCTGAGAAGAATGTTCATGACTCTGAGGACAAGGTTCCTCACTCTGAGGACAAGGTTCTTCACTCTGAGGACAAGGCTCCTCAATCTGAGGACAAGGTTCCTCACTCTGAATGCAGGTTCCTCACACTGAGGACAAGGTTCCTCAATCTGAGGACAAGGTTCTTCACACTGAGGACAAGGGTCGGCACTCTGACAACAAGGTTCCTCACTCTGAGGATAAGGTTCCTCGCTCTGAGGACAAGGTTCCTCACTCTGAAGTCAGGTTCCTCACCCAGAGGACAAGGTTCTTTACACTGACGACAAGGTTCCGCCATGTGAGAAGAAATTCATGACTCTGAGGACAAGGTTCCTCACTCTGAGGACAAGGTTCCTCACTCTGAGGACAAGGTTCCTCACTCAGAAGACAAGTTTTCCCATTCTGAAGTCAGGTTCCTCACCCAGAGGACAAGGTTCCTCACTCTGAGGACAAGGTTCTTCACACTGAAGAGAAGGGTCGGCACTCTGACAACAAGGTTCCTCACTCTGAGGATAAGATTCCTCACTCTGAGGACAAGGTTCCTCACTCTGAGGAAAACGTTCCTCACACTGAGGACAAGGCTCCTCACTATGAGGACAAGGCTCCTCCCTGTGAGGACAAGGTTCCTCGCTCTGAGGAGAAGGTTCTTCACTCTGAGGACAAGGCTCCTGACACTGAGGACAAGGTACCTCACTCTGAGGACGAGGTTCCTCACACTGAAGAGAAGATTCCTCACACTGAAGACAAGGTTCCTCAATCTGAGGGCAAGGTTCCTCACACTGCGGACAAGTTTCCTCGCTCTGAGGACAAGGATCTTCACTCTGAGGACAAGGTTCTCACTCTGAGGACAAGGTCCTCACTCTGAGGACAAGGTTACGCCCTCTGAATGCAGGTTCCTCAGACTGAGGACAAGGTTCCTCGCTCTGAGGAGAAGGTTCCTAACTCTGAGGACAAGGTTCCTCACACTAAAGACAAGGTTCCTCACTCTGCGAACAAGTTTCCGCACTCTGAGGACAAGGTTGCTCATTCTGAAGTCCGGTTCCTCAAACTGAGGACAAAGTTCCTCACTCTGAGAACAAGGTTCCTCACTCTGAGGACAAGGTTCCTCACTCTGAAGACAGGTTCCTCACTCTGAGGACAAGGTTCATCACTCGGGGACAATGTTCCTCACTCTGAAAACAATTTTCCTAACTCTGAGAACAAGGGTCCCTCAGTCTGACAACGAGGTTCCTCAGACTGAGGACATGGTTCCTCACTCTGAGAACAAGGTTCCTCACTCTGAGGGGAAGGTTCCTCACACTGAAGACAAGTTTCCTCACCCTGAGGAGAAGGTTCCTCAATGTGAAGACAAGGTTCCGCACTCTGATGGCAGGTTCCTCAGACTGAGGACATCGTCATCGCTCTTAGGACAAGGTTCCTCACTCTGAGGGCAAGGTTCCTCAGACTAAGGACAAGGTTCCTCACTCTGAAAACAAGGTTCCTCACTCTGGGGACAAGGTTCCTCACCTTGAGGACAAGGTTAATCACTCTGAAGTCAGTTTCCTAACTTTGAGTACAAGGTTCCTCACTTTGAGGAAAAGGTTTCTCACACTGAGGACAAGGCTCCTCACTCTGAGGACAAGATTCCTCACTCAGGGGACAAGGTTCCTCACTCTGAGGACAAGGTTCCCCACTCTGAGGACAAGATTCCTCACTCTGAAAGCAGGTTCCTCACTCTGAAGACAAGGTTCATCACCCTGAGGACAAGGTTCCTCACTCTGAGGACAAGGGGCTTCACACTGAAGACAAGGTTTCTCACACTGAGAACAAGGTTCCTGACTCTGAGGACAAGGTTTCTCACTCTGAGCACAAGATTCCTCACTCTGAGGACAAGTTCCTCACCCTGAAGGCATGCTCCTCCAACTGAAGACAAGGATCCTCACTCTGAGGACAAGGTTCCTCACTCTGAGGACAATGTTCTTCACTCTGGAGACAAGGTTCCTCACCCTGAGGACAAGGTTCCTCAATCTGAAGGCAGGTTCCTCACACTGAGGACAAGGTTCCTCACTCTGAGGACAATGTTCCCCACTTTGAGGACAAGGTTCTTCACACTGAGGACTAGGTTCCTCACTCTGAAGACAAAGTTCCTCACACTGAGGACAAGGTTCCTCACTATGAGGACTAGGTTTCTCACTCTGAGGACAAGGTTCTTCACACTGAGGACTAGGTTCCTGACTCTGAAGACAAGGCTCCACAAACTGAGGACAAGGTTCCTCACTCTGAGGACAAGGTTCCTCACTCTGAAGGAACGTTCCTCACACTGAGAACAAGGTTCCTCAATCTGAGTATAAGAGTCCTCAGTCTGAGGACAAGCTTCCTGAGACTGAGGACAAGGTTCGTGTTTCTGAGGACAAGGTTCCTCACTCTTAGGACACGGTTCTTCAGACTGAGGACAAGGGTCCGCACTCTGACAACAAGGTTCCTCACTCTGAGGACAAGGTTCCTCATTCTGAGGACAAGGTTCCTCACTCTGGGGAAAACGTTCCTCACACTGAGGACAAGGCTCCTCACTCTGAGGACAGGGCTCCTCACTTTGAGGACAAGGATCCTCACTCTGAGGAGACGGGTCCACACTCTGAGGACAAGTTTCCTCACTCTGAAAGCAGGTTCCTCACTCTGAGGACAAGGTTCATCACTGGGAGGACAAGGTTCCTCACTCTGAGGAAAAGGTGCTTGACACTGGGGACAAGGTTCCTCACACTGAGAACAAGGTTCCTCATTATGAGGACAAGGTTCCTCACTCTGACGCCAAGGTTCGTCACACTGAGGGCAATGTTTCTCACTCTGAGGACAAGGTTCTTCACACTGAGGACAAGGTTCCTCACTCTGAGGACAAGGTTCCTCAATCTGAGTGCAAGGTTCCTCACACTGGGGACAAGTTTCCTCGCCCTGAGGACAAGGATCTTCGCTCTGAGGACAAGGTTCTCACTCTCAGGACAAGGTCCTCACTCTGAGGACAAGGTTCCGCCCCCTGAATGCAGGTTCCTCAGACTGAGGACAAGGTTCCTCGCTCTGAGGAGAAGGTTCCTAACTCTGAGGACAAGGTTCCTCACACTAAAGACAAGGTTCCTCACTCTGCGAACAAGGTTCCTCACTCTGAGGACAAGGTTTCTCACTCTGAGGACAAGGTTCCTCACTCTGAAGTCAGGTTCCTCACTCTGAGGACAAGGTTCCTCACTCTGAGGACAAGGTTCTTCACACTGAGGACAAGGTTGCGCAATCTGAGAAGAAGCTTCATGACTCTGAGAACAAGGTTCCTCACTCTGAGGCAAGGTTCTTCTCTCTGAGGAAAAGGTTCCTCACACTGAGGACAAGGCTCCTCAATCTGAGGACAAGGTTCCTTACTCTGAGGACAAGGTTCTTCACTCGGAGGACGAGGTTGCTCACCCTGACGAGAAGGTTCCGCACTCTGAAGGCAGGTTCCTCAAACTGAGGACAAGTTTCCTCGTTCTGAGGACAAGTTTCCTGACTCTGAGGACAAGGTTCCTCACACTGAGGACAAGGTTCCTCACTCGGAGGACAAGGTACCTCACTCCGAGGACGAGGTTCCTCATACTGAGGACAACGTTTCTCACACTAAGGACAAGGTACCTCACTCTGAAAACAAGGTTCCTCACTCTGAGAACAAAGTTCCTCACACTGAGAACAAGGTTCCTCATATTGAGGACAAGGTTCCTCACTCTGACGACAAGGTTCCTCACACTGAGGGCAAGGTTCCTCACTCTGAGGACAAGGTTCTTCACACTGAGGACAAGGTTCCTCACTATGAGGACAAGGTACCTCAATCTGAGGACAAGGTTCCTCACACTGAGGACAAGATTCCTCACTCGGAGGACAAGTTCCTCACACTGAGGACAAGGTTCCACACCCTGAAGGCCTGTTCCTCCGACTGAGGACAAGGATCCTCACTCTGAAAACAATGTTCTTCGCTCTGAGGACAAGGTTCCTCACTCTGAGAACGAGGTTCCTCACTCTGATGACAAGGTTCCTCATTCTGTGGAAAAGTTTCCTCACTCTGAAGGCAGGTTCCTCACACTGAGGACAAGGTTCCTCAATCTGAGAAAAGAATCCTCACTCTGAGGACAAGCTTCCTCACACGGAGGACAATGTTCGTCTCTCTGAGGGCAAGGTTCCTCACTCTGGCGAGAATGTTCCTCACTCTGAGGACAAGATTCCTCACTCTTAAAACAAGGTGCCTAACTCTGACGACAATGTTCTTCAATCTGAGGACAAGGTTCCTCAATCTGAGGACAAGACTCCTCACTCTGAAGGCAGGTTCCTCACACTGAGGACAAGGTTCCTCAATCTGAGGACAAGGTTCTTCACACTGAGGAGAAGGGTCGGCACTCTGACAACAAGGTTCCTCACTCTGAGGATAAGCTTCCTCGCTCTGAGGACAAGGTTCCTTACTCTGAAGTCAGGTTCCTCACCCAGAGGAGAAGGTTTTTCACACTGAGGACAAGGTTCCGCCATGTGAGAAGAAAGTTCATGACTCTGAGGACAAGGTTCCTCTCTCTGAGGACAAGGTTCCTCACTCTGAGGACAAGGTTTCTCACTCTGAGGACAACCGTCCTCACTCTGAGGACAAGGTTCCTCACTCTGAGGACAAGGTTCGTCATTCTGAAGTCAGGTTCCTCACCCAGAGGACAAGGTTCCTCACTCTGAGGACAAGGTTCTTCACACTGAGGACAAGGGTCGGCACTCTGACAACAAGGTTCCTCACTCTGAGGACAAGGTTCCTCACTCTCAGGACAAAATTCCTCACTCTGAGGACAAGCGTCCTCACTCCGAGGACAAGGTTCCTCACTCTGAGGACAATGTTCCTTATTCTGAAGTCAGGTTCCTCACCCAGAGGACAAGGGTCCTCACTCTGAGGACAAGGTTCTTCACACTGAGGACTAGGGTCGGCACTCTGGCAACAAGGTTCCTCACTCTGAGGATAAGATTCCTCACTCTGAGGACAAGGTTCCTCACTCTGAGGAAAACGTTCCTCACACTGAGGACAAGGCTCCTCACTATGAGGACAAGGCTCCTCACTCTGAGGACAAGGTTCCTCAATCTGAGGAGAAGGTCCCTCACCCTGAGGACAAGGTTCCTGACACTGATGACAAGGTACCTCACTCTGAGGACAAGGTTACGCCCTCTGAATGCAGGTTCCTCAGACTGAGGACAAGGTTCCTCGCTCTGAGGAGAAGGTTCCTAACTCTGAGGACAAGGTTCCTCACACTAAAGACAAGGTTCCTCACTCTGCGAACAAGGTTCCTCACTCTGAGGACAAGGTTTCTCACTCTGAGGAAAAGGTTCCTCACTCTGAAATCAGGTTCCTCACCCTGAGGACAAGGTTCCTCGCTCTGAGGACAAGGTTCTTCACACTGAGGACAAGGTTGCGCACTCTGAGAAGAAGGTTCATGACTCTGAGGACAAGGTTCCTCACTCTGAGGACAAGGGTCTTCACTCTGAGGAAAAGGTTCCTCACACTGAGGACAAGGCTCCTCACTCTGAGGGCAAGGTTCCTTACTCTGAGGACAAGGTTCTTCACTCGGAGGACGAGGTTGCTCACCCTGACGACAAGGTTCCGCACTTTGAAGGCCGGTTCCTCACACTGAGGACAAGTTTCCTCGTTCTGAGGACAAGTTTCCTCACTCCGAGGAAAAGGTTCCTCATTCTGAGGACAAGGTTCCTCACTCTGAGGACAATGTTCCTCACTCTGAAGTCACGTTCCTCACTCTGAAGACAAGGTTCCTCACTCTGAGGACAAGGTTCTTCTCACTGATGACAAGGTCCGCACTCTGTCAGCAAGGTTCCTCACTCTGGGGACAAGGTTCCTCACTCTGAGGACAAGGTTCCTCAATCTGAGGAAACGTTCCTCACACTGAGGACAAGGCTCCTCACTCTGAGGACAAGGCTCCTCACTCTGAGGACAAGGTTCTTTACTCTGAGGAGAACGTTCCTCACTCTGACGATAAGGTTCCCGACACTGAGGACAAGTTTCCTGACTCTGAGGAAAAGGTTCCTCATTCTGAGAACAAGGTGCCTCGCTGTGAGGACAAGGATCCTCACTGTCAGGACAAGGTTCCTCACACTGAGGACAAGGCTCCTCACTCTGAGGACAAGGTTCCTTACTCTGAGGACAAGGTTCCTCTCTCTGAGGACAAGGTTCTTCCCACTGAGGACAAGGTTCCGCACTCTGAGAAGAAGGTTCATGACTCTGAGGACAAGGTTCCTCACTCTGACGACAAGGTTCCTCACTCTGAGGAAAAGGTTCCTCACACTGAGGACAAGGCTCCTCACTCTGAGGACAAGGTTCTTCACTCTGAGGACAAGGTTCCTCACTCGGAGGAAAAAGTTGCTCACCCTGAGGATAAGGTTCCTCACACTGAGGACAAGGTTCCTCACTCTGAGGACAAGGCTCCTCACTGTGAGGACAAGGTTACTCACTCTGAGGACAAGGTTCCTCACTCTGAGGACCAGCCAAGACCTAGGCCTTCTAATCTTATTTATATTTTTTAGTATTCAGCGGTTTTTCACATGAAAAGACTTGGACTAGGTGGTTTGGGTGCGGGGCGGAGGAACCAAGCCTAGAAGGCCTGGTTTGAATTCCCAACAACAAGGCCAAAACTGCCCTGAAACTGGCCTGGTTGCGAAATGCCCAATTATTGGGTTCTCAAACAGAATTATTTGCAACTTAACGGCGAATTTAAACCGATACAGGTAAAATAAACTCATTTATAGTATAAACTTACTATTTTTATTTGTATACACGTCTAAAAAATCGATTTTTTATCATAAAGTTCGAAGCAACACTATTATTTAATATGTTGACAAGGTGTACCGAAAGAACAAAATGAGTCAAAATATATACCAACAGTAGAATCTTTCATGAAATTTTGTCTTCTACACAAGTACATTAATATATTTTTTCTCAATTTTAGCAAGAAGCAGTCTTGTGTTTGTAAAATATAGAAAATAAAACGGATACATATATTATTAGCCCGTACAGTACTGTATATAAAAACGTACATTGTTTATACAAATGGTATATCTGTAATATTTGAACACTAATTTCAAATTCCTCATTCCCAATTCGCAAATATAGTTATTCAAAGCAAAAAGTAGATTGTCTTGCGAATAAAAGAATTATTATTTTGTGCCGTTTCGCTACACCTTGTCGACATATATAAATAGTGTTGATTCAAATTTTATGATAAAAAACCCGATTTTCTGGCCCTTTCTCGATATATGAGCAACCGAAATTGCCCAATCAAAATATAAGCAGAGGGTTTGCAAAGATATACACTATATTTAACCGTACCAATCTATAACACTCCATAGGTATCTACAACACTCCATAGCTATCTATAACACTCCACTGGCATCCATAACACTCCATAGCTATCGATAACACTCCACTGGTATCCATAACACTCCATAGCTCTCTATAACAGTCCACTGGTATCCATAACACTCCATTGCTATCTATAACACACCATAGGTATTTACAACACTCCATAGCTATCTATAACACTCCACTGGTATCCATAGCACTCCATAGCTATCGATAACACTCCACTGGTATCCATAGCACTCCATACCTATCGATAACACTCCACTGGTATCCATAACACTCCATAGCTATCGACAACACTCCACTGGTATCCATAACACTCCATAGCTCTCTATAACACTCCATAGTTATCTACAACACTCCATAGGTATCGATAACACTCCACTGGTTTCCAAAACACTCCATAGCAATCTATAACACTCCACTGGTATTCATAACACTCCATAGCTATCGATAACACTCCACTGGTATCCGTAACACTCCATAGCTATCTATAACACTCCACTGGTACCCATAACACTCCATAGCTATCGATAACACTCCTCTGGTATCCATAACACTCCATAGCTCTCTATAATACTCCACTGGTATCCATAACATTCCATAGCTATCTATAACACTCCACTGGTATCCATCGCACTCCATAGCTAACGATAACACTCCACTGGTATCCATAGCACTCCATAGCTATCGACAACACTCCACTGGTATCCATAACACTCCATCGCTATCTATAACACGCCATAGGTATCTACAACACTCCATATCTATCGATAACTCTCCACTGGTATCCATAACACTCCATAGCTATCGATAACACTCCACTGGTATCCATAACACTCCATAGCTATCGATAACACTCCACTGGTATCCATAACACTCCATAGCTATCTATAACACTCCACTGGTATCCATAACACTCCATAGCCATCTATAACACCCAAAGGTATCCATAACACTCCATAACACTCCATAGCTATCTATAACACTCCACTTGCATCCATAACACTCCATAGCTATCTATAACACTCCACTGGTATCCATAACACTCCAAAGCTATCTATAACACTCCATAGGTATCTACAACACTCCATAGCTATCTATAACACTCCACTTGTATCCATAACACTCCATAGCTATCTATAACACTCCATAGGCATCTACAACACTCCATAGCTATCTATAACACTCCACTGGTATCCATAACACTCCTAAGCTATCTATAACACTCCATAGGTATCTACAACACTCCATAGCTATCTATAACACTCCACTTGTATCCATAACACTCCATAGCTATCTATAATACTCCATAGGTATCTACAACACTCCATATCTATCTATAACACTCCACAGTAGTATAGGGAATGATGGTTCTAGACCACTTTTTCGGCCCGCGATCTCTCCCAACTTCCGGTCAGCGGTTTCCGTATTTTTCCCTCAAAAACGCGGGCTCATATTTTTCTAGACCATTTTTCTATTATTTTTGGTATTATTTTTTCTATTATTTTTGGCATTATTTTTTCTATTATTTTTGGCGTTATTTTTTCTATTATTTTTGGCATTATTTTTTCTATTATTTTTCTATTATTTTTCAGCATTATTTTTTCAACATTATTTAACAATTTACTTTTCCTATTGAGTGGTGTCCGTAAGCGTAACTTGTAACACCATCTTCAAGTAGGTATCTTTTGTCATCGAAACAGCTGAGTATAATTTTCTTTAGCTGGTAGGTTCCAATCTTATGCTTGATGCTTCGGATTGTGTTCATCTTATGTCTCATCCTACCTTTGGTCTTAATCACGTTCTTAAAGTTTTCATGAGTGAGCTTGTTTCTGATCACATACTTTTTCACACCTTTTGCTGTCATTCCACCTCCACCACTCTCCTTCACATAGGAGTACATCTTTGACCTTAACCCTACGAATTCTATCACCGGCACTCCTGCAGCTTCATCCTTAAACTTTCCAATTACCTTCTTATTATGAGCTGAGTAATACGGAGAATCTTTCGGATAATCTGAGTTGTCCCAACAGTCTTCCTTCTCACCGATCCTCTTGAAGTCCTCATACACGTCATCAGTCTTAATCTCATACATTAGACTGTCAGTGTCTGTGAATAGGAGCTTCGACTTGTCACCGTACTCCTTTTTGATCGTGTTGTAATGGAAGTCGTGCATTAGAGTCTTGGATAAGTCTAAGATACTCATTCCCACATAACACGGCTTATTCAAGGTTAACACTTCCTTCATTCTCTTTACCACGATCAGGTTCTCATTCATAATCCTATGTGACTGGAAGCATGGAGACGCAGTTAGTTTAAGGAGATCGTTTTCCGACGACACTAGTTTCACATCAACTCTCTTCCTCAAATTCTCCATAGTCTTTCCATAGATGGAATTGTTCATTAGCTTGAAGAAGTTTTTCTCAAACGCATTCTTAGCGACTGATCGTTTTTGAGTATTGAAGTCAATATATTTTTTCAGCCAAGTTGACTGCTTGAAGGAGACTGCTCTGTGAACCTTCATAAGTTTCATTCCGAGTTCCATGTAGAGTTTCAGATTCCTGACATGTAGAACGTAATTCTTCCTGGGACCAAGTGAGTTTACCAGTTTTCTTACACCTCCAATTGTCAGCTGGAATTTATCAGCAATATCCTTTGCATAGTCTGATAACATTGACGCATCAATCTCCTTACTTTCTGGAGCTAGTGGATAACCATTATGTAGGTCGTGAAGTTCTGCTGGATATTCCATATCAACCTCAAGAACCATACCCCTTCCACTGTCTCCTAAGTAGTCATCAATATTTATTTTGTCAACTTCCTCGATCCACTTAAACTCTCCATTAGGAAGAGGTTGAGACATCGCCCAGCCATATAAATTGTTGGCGTCGAGGTACATAAGGAACTTGTTTTTAGCTTCTTCGTCATACGTTTCCATATACTTATTATTCGCCGTAGAGTGTCTATGAGCAATATGACTTACCCCACCTCTCATTCCCTTCTCAAAGAACTGGAACATATCCATATCGCTTACCAATTCTATTTCCTCACCTGACTGTTTTAAGAACGCGTCCCAACTTAGACTAGGTGCTGAGATGTAATGAGCAGGGTCAAGCTTGTAATTCTCCAGGCAGGTCTTCCTGAAATTCTCAAAGACATCCGCTAGCAGAAGAACGTCAGTCTCTAGATAAAGATCGTGGTAGTCCCTCATCGTTTTCATCTTGAAGTGATTCCAAACTTTTTGCGCTTTTTGGTAATCTTCTTCTTTCACTTCAGATTCATATAGAGACGAATAGAACTTGTCTTTACTTGGAAGCCCCTCAGAGTCTAGTTTGCTGATGTCATCTAAGTATTCATAGGGAAATATTCCTTTTTGTCGTACTAGATCAAAGTCCTCACCTTGCCACCTCTTACCGACTATCTTGAAGTCTTCAGGTGAAAGGTTATTCACAAGTGCCTCTAGAGAAGAAGCCATGAATTGGATGGAATCAATGAACACAAGACTTTTTCCTAATGAGAAGGAAATGTATTTCTCCATGTTATTTGGGACAACGTTAATGTTCATCTTAAACTTGCCAATCTCCTGCATTATCAGATGACTATCATAACCTCTTAGATTATGGAAGACCACTGGAAGTTTCCATGTAATTCTATATTTCAAGTTACACATATTATGAGCAGCTCCGCGGTAAAGTCCAGTTACATGATCATGGTCCCTGACTCTGTCATCACCTAAGTCGCATCCACAAATGGAACAGTTCCTTGTCATCCAGAACTCAGCTTCTTGTTCAGGTGTGATTACCATCTTTTTCTTGAAGATTTTGTTCACCATTTCCCGGCACCTGATAGACTCCTTCAGAATTGTCTTCAGAAAGACCTCTGTAGCGTCTGCACCAACGTAACTCGTATATTCGCCTGAGTACTGATCATCATAGTGACACACTGTCTTCAACCCAAAACTGCAAGCTTTATGTGTCTGGTAAAGCTCAGTTGAACTCTTCTCCTCAGGGTCTTCAGATTCCACTTTCCTTTCCTCAGGAACAAGCATAGATTCAAAGTCAGCATAGATTACAAATGGAGCAGGCATTGAATTTCTATAATGACCAAACTTTATTTTTGAACCAGCATTGGGAAGCTTCGTGGCCTGAGTTCCATTTACACTAACACATGTCTCACTATGTTTCTTTAATGTTTCCTCACTAGTGCAACTATGGAGGCAATATAAGCAGAAGTGTTTTTTGTTTGAGTTACCGCTAACACTGAAGAGCATTCTATTTACATCCTTTATTAGGACATAATGATTACCACCGTTGTTGTCACCTAACAGCAGCAACTCCATATGCTCATCATATTTTGTCTTAGAGTTCCTGATTGGGTAGAACTGCTTTTTTCCCTTATAACCGAATACTGAGATGCTTATTGAATTTCTTCTTTCAATTTTGTTGATATCGCTTATCTTGACAGGAAAGTCAATACCTTCATAATCCAGGTTCTCCGCGAACTCCCTATCTTGCTTTGTTATGGCAGTTGCCCTCCTAGCCTTTGGTCTCAAATGTCTCACATGACACCACATAAAGCATTTTTCGTCCTTGTTTTGCATATTAATTAAGCCGCATTTTGGATTACTAATGTCTGCGGGTAATTTCATATATGAACTACCCTTGAGAGGTTTGTACATTGCAATATTAACATAATGACTTTCAATGTTCAGAATAATCCAATTTGAACCTAAGTTCTGGAAAGTTTCAATTCTGGATAAGATAGTCAGTTGGTTCTGAGCTGCAGTGCTTTCAATATCCTCAAAGTTAGTTGCAGTTCCAGTTTTTGACTTAAAGTACACTGAATCCTTCTTTGTTTTATCATTTCCGATTTCCTTGGACATTCTCACCTTAATTGTCTCCGTATATTTTAGACCTCCCATTCTCTTCAACTCGTTCATTAGAATTCCCCTCACAACCTGCCTACTTGCTGTCATCTGGTCCAAGGGATCCATAAAGTTTGGAGTTATTGAGTAAGTCACCACTGCACCATTTGCGGCAGTTTCTATCTTTCTATAGGAAGGCTTCTCAAGATACGTTCCAAATGGATCGATCTCGTGTTCCTGTGGGGCGACCACAGGAGGCTGTTCCTCAACTTCTTTCATTACCTTTACGGGCTTTCTTAACTTTGGAGGAGGCACTGGCTTTTTAGTTCTAGGCTTAGGAACAGGTCTCTCTCTAGGGAACACTGTCCTTGGCTTAGGAACAGGTCTCTCTCTAGGGAACACTGTTTTTGGCTTAGGAACGGGTCTCCATGGAGTTACACCTTTCGGTACCTCAGGAGCTTTCCTTGTTGGTCTTCTGCTTAGGTCCACCGTCACCGTGTACTTATTAGGTCCCACCTGAGTTATCACACTATCTGCAGGAATCGAGAGTTTTATTTTGTTTTGACTCATGAATCTCTCCGCGACACTTTGCTTCTTAACCTTTGGTGGTCTTCCACGTTTCTTTGGAATCACAACCTCAGCCTCAGACTTAACCTTTGGTGGTCTTCCACGTTTCTTTGGAATTACTACTTTGGTGTCAACCTTAGCCTTTGCTGGTCTTCCACGTTTCTTTGGAATTGCAACCTTGGCATCAGATTTAGCCTTTGGCGGCTTTCCCCTGGGACGTTTAGGATTCCTAATATTCTCTAGCCTCTTCATCTCCGCATTAACTTGAGGATCATCAGTTCTCCATCTACCTCCCATTGTTGGTGGTAAACCCTCAACTCCCTGACTGAGTAGACTTTGATATGCCTCCTCAACCAGCAAAGCCTTTGCCTTCTGTCTCTCGGAATATTTCCACGTCGGCATAATTCCCCTCTCACCCTTCTCATTCAATGGTCGTCTTCGTGCTCTTCTTGGGTCAGTAGAACGATCTCCTTCATCTATGAACTGTCTTTCTCCTTCAAAGAGATCTTTACCCTTATCCTTAGGTGCAACTCGATAGAATTTGTCCTCAGATATTCTCTCAACTTCATCCTCGAAATCACTTATATCGCTATCATCAACTATCTCACTAAGTGCCATAAGTTGTTCCACGGTCATGTTGTTCATGTCAAAGTTTGTCGCCATTTTTCACTCTTTCTCTATATACTATAGGTAAAAAAAAATAGGCCTATTTAAAGGCCTATTTAATTTTGTATTTAATTTAATATTTTTATTTAATTATTTATTTTTATTTAATTATTTATTTTTATTTAATTATTTATTTTTATTTAATATTTTATTTAATTTTATAATTAACATTTTATTTAATCCAATAATTAATATTTTATTTATGTCTAAATTTCCAGTTATTATAATATTTACAATTTATGGGTTCCCACCCCAACTCGGGAAAAACCTTTCCATATAGTCTGTCCTCAAGGATGTTCACAATTCTTTGAGTCTTGATGTCCTCAGGTGGGTTTCTCAACATGATGTTGTTCATGCTGGCTAACCTTAATAGGTAAAACTTATATCTAACTATGTTGCGCCCCCGTTGCAGTCTAAGTCTTTGTATACATCTTACGGTGCTTCTAAACTGCTCCCGTATGGTATCCCTATCCCCAGAAGCAACATGCTCGAATAAGTGTCTCTCAAACCAACGGACTCTATTATGGGACGATTTCTTTTTCAAGTAGTCATCCTTGTTGTGATTGTAGCTAACGTAGTATGTGAAGTTGTTCATAGCACTAGTTCCGCAACGTGTGCACACATCTACTCCGTCTATCACCACAATAGCCTTACTACCACATTCACTACATACTGGGTCGTATGTGTGCTTCACCTTCATTTTCTTTCTCACGTATTTCATTACTGTAGCCTCTAACTCCTCAATGTTGTTTGCGTTCTTACCGACTCGTTCCATTTCATCAGGTGTTACCAGTGTCAGCCAGTCCATCCCCTATACTATATGTGTTAAAATTTTCTGCTTGTTTTTGTGGTTTATTTTTACGTCTCCTTATTATTCGCCATTCCACATATTTTTTGACTGCGGCCTCTAGTTCTTCTATGGTGTCCACCCTTTTTCCCAAGGCCACCACTTCGTCAACGTCTACCATTGCAAGCCAATCCATTTCTCTACAGTAACTATGTTACTGGGCGCTACGCTATATTATATATGTAAAAGAAAATTGACGTATTTTTATAGAATTAAATAAGCTGCCCCTCCAACCACCCCACCTACAATTAAACCGAAGATTGCCATATATTCTTCCATCTCAGAGCTAGGTTTGTAGTGATTGCTTAACTGCGGCCTCCTCGGCATAGCCTTACGTGTTAACTCATTGATTATTCTAACGAGTTCCAGTGATTTGTTTGTTGCATTAATATCCTTATTTGCCTCAATCAATTCTGACTTTAGTTGGGCAAGTCTGTTTCTTCTATCAGTGACTTCTTCAAGGTACTTCTCTCTTTCAGCTGTTAGGTTCTCCATCGCTATGTTATGTCTGTGGGCTTCCTTAGCATATCCATTCTTATCAAACATCTTAAATAGATATCCTGCTCCAGCAAATGCAAATGCATTAAAGAGTCCTCCTGCTACTGCTGACGCCATTGTATAGTTTTACCTAGGTTTTGAATGGATCATCTGGTAGATACTTCTTATCTTTCAGGTAAGATACTAGTAGGGATGAAAGGCTAACTGAGACAGCTAGCTTTGCCATTCCTTTTACGTTCTCTGGGGTGCCTAATGGTTCTTTTAATAGTTTCTTCGATGCCATTGAAATACCGACTGCTCCTGCTGTTAGTAACACTGCGTTGTACACGTCCATCGTCATCTTTGATTCTTTACTCATCTTGCTATAATATATATTATGTTTAATCATTCAAGTGAATCTAACTTAGACGCATCAGCTTCCCTAGTTATCTCAACAGTTTGATTTACATGTTTAGGTTCCGGTTCCCTGGTTTCCCTCTGATGCGACTTGTATGCTAGCACTAGAGATACCAGTGCTATGGCCACTCCTATGTAGGTAATCAAACTGTCATTACTTGAAGGCTCCTTAGGTTCTGCAAGTTTCTTTTTCCTCTCCTTTGCTATTTTGCTGATTGCAGCTAATCGTTTTCCTGCCGCTACTCTCTTCGGGTCCTTCTTCTTCTCACGTGTTACTTGTGCTTGGATTTGCTCAGGTTTATCTTCCATTTTACTTGTAAGATACCTTAGGTTTAACTGGGTTTAGTCTTATGAGACATCTTAAATTCTACTTGTGAGATAACTTGAATTTACTTGTAAGATATCTCAAATTTACTGGTGAGATAACTTAAATCTACTGGTGAGATAACTGGTGAGGTATCTCAAATCTACTGGTGAGATGACCTGACTAGTACTTACCTGAACTGAACCTAGGTCTGTACAACCTTACAGCACACTGTGTGTTGTTCACTGTGACCTTCTTTGCGACCTTCTTAAGTGAAAAGTATTCGTTGATTCTAATGCAAGTTTTTACAAGGTCATCTGACACCATCACCATGTAACCTATCTTCATAAGTTTGTGGAACCATAACACTTGCTTTTCACTTGCGACTCCGGTGCCTTTTGGAGACTTGAATTCTATGGCAAATCCTTTGTACTTCCCCATAGAATTCTCTATAATAATATCTGGCTGACCACCTTTGTATCCCTTCTTCCAGGCATCACATCTCTTAGATGATGTGTCCTGATACTCCCCTAGACCGGGTATTACCACAGCCTCTGGGTAGTTGTCCCTGATGTAACTCACGACTGTGTGGTGGAGGTCTGTTTCATTTAATAGGATCATTTGGTTGTATCTAAGTGACCTTCTATCTGGTAAACTGTATGTGCCAGTTTTTCGTATAGATGGGAGGACTTCCCTGAATACCCAGTCCTGGAAGTCCTCCGCTATTGGGAGTCTTGAGTTGAATATTAATTGGTATACTCCTGGTTCTCTTAGGAGGACCGTATGTGGGTGGCAATTTCTAAGGGTACCCGTTTTGGGTACCCTTTGTTCACCCGAGATATTTCCCAACAATACCTTATTTAATCCCCATACATGATCCCTAATAGCCTTCTGCGGTTTTGAGTACCCTAAGGATTCCGCCACATCTTTTGCGTAGAATAATAACTCCCCATCACTTTCAACAGTTCTCACACTAACGTTAAGGTCTCGGTTCCTGAATAGTTTTTCCATCTTTCTCTATACTATATATGTAAAAATTTTTGGGCTTATTTTATGGCTATTTTATTTTGATTTACTAGTATTAATTGTGATAGACCGTAAGACCTACCCTCTAGGTGGGCCCCTGTTGGGTCCCACCTCCAAGTAAGTAAGAGTGGCTGCATTACAACCTTTCTCAAAGGGGTGCCCGGGCACCCCTTTGCTCTACCTATGAAGTAGTACTCCCTCTTCCCACCCGACTACTCCCCATCCACATTTTTCCCTAGTTTAAAAAATTACATTTCATTCAGTTTTCTATATATCTTTACAACTGTTTTGACCATATCATCTTTAAATGCTTTGTATTCATACTCAAGTAGTCCTATGATTTTATTCTTAAGGTTATATAGATCCTTCTCTATAGAGAACAATGTTGCTGAGTTCTTTTTAAGTAAGCTTTCTGTTGAATCAAGTGCTGCCTGAATTTCATCTAACTGTTTCTTATTTGCGTCTGTCTTCTCAATCAACTCATTAATTATGTCTTCAAATTCAGTTCCTTCCCAAGCGTTTCCCCAATCGTATGACTCTCCGAGGTGAGACATTCTTCTTCACTATGTAATAGGATTTGTTTTGCTTCCTCGGATATTTCCTCAGTCTTTTCCTTCTTATTCCACTTGTAAGCAACCACGTGCTTAGCTGTTGTACATCCACCTGATATGAGACCTATGAATGGAATGTTTGGGGATATCATTCTAGTTAAATAACATACGTCATCCTTTAAAAGCTTATCACTAAGTAGTTCCTCTGACAGCTTCTCAGAAGATTCCACCGCATTAAAACTTCCCAGTATGGAAGCGAACTTTGAGATAATAAGCGTTGATAAGAAGTCACTTGCGCATGACATCCTCTGACTTTCATACTCACTGTAAAGTCTATCCACAACATCTTTGTTTGACTTTCTTATGAAACTTGCGGTCTTATCAATTACACCATCCTTAGATAGCTCGATAAGCTTATTCCTTTTGTGTTCAGTTTGCGACTTATCTGCGGCTGACTTAGTTTTTCTTGCGGTAGACTTAGCTTTCTTTTGCGGTGCCTTTGCGGCCTCTTTTACTTCCCTCACAGCTGTAGATATTTCTTCATCAGATTCCGATCCCATCTTTTATATCCTACGTGATGTTTTGTTTGATAGTGTATGTGTAAGGGTGAATAAGTAGTATATCTAGTGCGGTGAACTTCTTATCTTTTAATATTTTTATAATCTCCGCAATTGTCTCCTGAGGGACACCACTTAGGTAATCATCTGTTATCACCTTCATATCCCTGCGACTAGGGTTGTAAAATGTAACTAACCTGGAAATGTTCTCCCTGAATGGTTTTGCAATTGATGATAATTGTTGGGTAATTACAATAACTGATAGGTTGTAATGTCTTGCGGAAAATGCAAGGCGCACCAGTTCTGAGACTCTTTTCTTTACATCCTGACCTGCAGCACAATCATCAATGATGATGAGCGTTTGAGTTCCACGAAATATGGTGGACACTGCCTTCAGAACTAGATTGATCATTTCTTGTGAACATGGAATTTGTATGACTCCACGATCACTAATATGAGCCCAATTAATGTAAGTCATATTCCATTCTATTGTTGGACATATAATCACAATATAATCGAA